TAGGGCCCCTTCTCAGGTCCCACCCTTACAAGAAGGACCCTCAACCCTAAACCCCAAAAGGGAGCCTAATTTAGAGAACTACTCCCTGAACCCTAAACCCTGAACCCCTAAACCCTAAAAGAAGCCTACTTTCGAGAACTAGCCCCTAAAACCCAAAACCCTCAAAAGGAGGCCTCCCTTCGAGAACTAGCCGTTCAATCACCGAGGCCTGGCCCTAAAAGGAAGCCTACTTACCCTAAGCCCTAGACTCTAAACCCCTAAACCCTAAACCCTGAACCCCTAGACCCTAACCCCTAAACCCTAACCCCTAGACCCCTAAACCCTAAACCCCTAAACCCTACACACCCTAAACCCTAAACCCCTAAACCCTAAACTACCCTAGACCCCTAAACGCCTAAACCGGTTCAATCACCGAGGCCTGGCCCGTCATGCTCAGGGACTTGACCATGCCTCGGGTTCTTCCAGGCTCGGGCTCCATTCAAAACCGGGCTTCCCAGAAGGGTTCCTTTGAGGGATCGTTTAAGGGATCCTTTAGGGGTTCCTTTAAAGGATCCTTTAAAGGATCCTTTAGGGGTTCCTTCAAAGGATCCTTTAAGGGATCCTTTAAGGGCTCCTTTGGGGTTCCTTTAAGGGATCCTTTAAAGGATCAAATAAGGGATCCTTGTTTGGGGGCATCGTTTAAGGATTCGAAAGGGGATCTGTCTCCATCGTAGTTCCTTGCTATGGCACCCCAGCCCATAAAGCCACGGACCTCATGCCCTAATGGTAGTGCATACTTGAAGGCTCATGGGACTTAGTAAGTAAGGTTATAAGTAGGTTATAATTAGGATAACCCTACTTAGGGGACTTATAACCCCAGTTATAACCTACTTACTAAGTCCCATGATCCGCTAAGCATGGACCCTCCAAGTCACGGCCCAAGCTTCAGGGTCTCTGAGTTTTAAGAGGTGAACCCGAGCTGAGTTGTACACTTCGGTAACCCTCAACTTCGAAACCTACACTCATCAAAGAAACCTCCGAGAATCCTAAAGGCAAGAGGCCCTAAATTCCACCAATATCTCCTTAAACCCTAAACCCTACACTTGAAGCCCAAAAGTTGGAAACCCAATGGCCTCAATCCCCAAGACAGAAGTATGGGGAATCCCAGCTCTTTGTGGCCTTGATCCGCTTTCCAATTTTAAGGGGTTTACTGCAAACCCAAACTCCCAACCTTTTGAACCCTACTCAGGAGTGCGGGGTCGACACCCGAAAGCCCTCGACGACGCCACCCTTCAGAGTTCAACCCGAAACTGTATCTCTCAATGCGAACCCTGAACGGCCTAAGCCCTAAAAATTTACAAACCCCTATAAACCCTAAGCCCTGAACCCTGAAACCTCTAAACCCAAAATCCTAAATCGAAAACGCTCTGAACTCCCTGTAAACCCTAAACCCCGAACCCCCCTATACCAAACCCAAAACTCTAGACCCAAAACCCCCTAAACGCCCTAAACCCCAAACCGTCTCTTCCACTCAGGCGAGGTTCCCTCTGCAGTGGAGAACTCCACGAAGCAAACGCCCTGCAGCAGTTCTCTTTGGCTCAGGGTTTAGAGTTTGGGTTTCGGTTTAGGGTCTATAGGGCTCGGTCAGGCTGCCATACTACCAATAGTCTCCCCCTGCAGTCCCTACTATAACCATACTTCAGTATACCCGAAAGCCCTATTCCCATCTTGAAGGCCCCAATACTAGTAACAGTGTTGTTCTGCTTTTGCAGGCCCCCCATGTCATCAGGTTGTATGGAGTTGTGCTGGTTTCTGACCTGTGCAGTCTTGAGGGCTTAGGGTCAAATGGTTTCAGATCGTGGGTCTAATTGTAGGGTCCAAAGTTTTGAATAATTATAAGCATTTGGGTTTAGGATAGTAGCTATGTAGGTTAGTATTTGGAGAGTATATGGTAATGTGGTACTTGGACCCTCGGGGCCAGGGTCTAACCGAAACTCCAAAGACCCATTTTCGTGGTCTAGGTCTTTGGGGTTTAGGGTTCTTAAGGGGGCTCCTTATTATCATTACACCCCTACATAGTCCCTCAGAAAATTGTAGGCCATTTGGTTGCAAGGGGTGCCTTGTTTGCTTTATTCTGAAAAGCGCCCTGTTAAAAACCGTTCAAACAAGCCAGACCTTCCAGAATCCCCCTAAGTAAGGAATGTACTTTAAACCATATTGGGAGCCCTAATATGATCTAAGGTCGTGATCTAAGGTCTGTTCCTCCATTAGGGGTTTGTGGAAGATTTGGGCCCCCCCAAGAAGAGAACCATAGGGGCCTTGATGAGTAGAATCGGGTTCTAAGGTCGATTAGAACGCAATTGCAAGATAATGACAATAGTTATACCTACAGTCTCCATTGTAGTTCCTTTTTTTGGTTAACCAGAATCTCTATTATAGGATCCTAGCCATAAAACTGGTTAACCAAAAAAGGAACGACATTGGAGACTACAGATAAGGGCCTTGACGGTTAGAGGTAAAGTAGAACATCATGACAATAGTCGTAAGAGTCACAGCAATACAAACACTATGGCAATATAGGGCTTAGTCTCGGAAATCAGCCGGGTATCTATCTGTCCAGCTATCCATCTATCTGTCGATGTATCTAACTATCTATCTATCTATCCTGATCAAAACATGCCATGTTGCTGGGAACCTTGGCTTTGGCAAGTCTTCGAGGCTAGCACGCCATCGTTCTGCTTGTCGTCGGGATAGCAAGGCAGAGGTGGTTGGCTGTGTTCACTGTCGCCCACATAACTCAGAAAAAGGGAGCCAGTCCGAACTCGAGCATCAAAATAATGAAGTCCCGGAATGTCGCACGAATCGTTGCCTGGCATACACATAGAACAGGACTTGCATGGGGTCAGAGTGCCTGAGAATTACAAGTCTTGGCTGACGCCCGAACTTCCTGCAAAAGGCCACTTGGCATGCCTGAGTGGAGAAGGCAAGCGAACCTTAAATCCTAAACTCGAAACCTTAAACCCAAAACCCTAAACCCTAAATCCTAAACTCGAAACCCTAAACCCAAAAATTTAAAATCCTAAACCCTAAACCGAAAACCCTAAACCCCACACCCCCAAACCAAACACTAAACCCAATACCCTGATTCGTCTGGTCTCCTGGCCGGTTTTGGACACGCCAAGCCATGCAGCTCTCCGTTCGGATGTATGTGAAGCAGTGGAGCTTAGGGTTTAGGGTTTCGTTTTTAGGGCTTAGGGCTTAGGGTTTCGTCCTATATGTATGTGTGTGTGTGAGTGCGTGAGCGTATATACATATGACATGTACGTACACACATATTATAGACATAACTCTATACATACATATATATATATATGTGTACATATTGAAATGCATTCGTCCTATAGTCGCCATGGTAGCTCCTTGATTTGGTCTAACCAGTTTTTCTATCTAGGATCCTACAAGGTGACCCCCCAAAAATGGAACTGCGTTGAAGACTATGAGTGTAGGGTCAAACGACCCTGAACGGTAAACCCCAAACCCTAAATCCCTAAACCCCTAAACCCCTAGACCCCTAAACCCTTAGACCCTAAACCCTAAACCGAACGGCCACCAAAATAGAGTTCGATCAGGAAAGCCAACGAAAAGCCACCAAGCCCCCAAACCCTAACCCCAATGCCTGGTGGGGAGATGTCTGACTCGAAGCTTAGTTGCTGAGTTCATAAGGCCCAAAAAGTCTACACTTTCAGTTTTGGATTGGGTAATACGGTTGATGATACAAACCCTGCACTACCTTAAGGATCCTTAACTATGGGAATTATGGTATACTCCTGATTATGGGTCATGCAGGATTTATATCATCAACCGTATTATCCCAAAAAGTGTAAAGTGTATCCACTCAGCCACTAAGGAAGGTTCAAGGCCCCACGGAAGATCTCTCCGAGGGCTGACGTTGAGGCTGTAGGGTTCAGGGTCGAGGATCTAGGGTCTGTAGGCTTTAAGCCTTAGGGCCTGGGATCTAGGATTGAGGGTCTAGGATCTAGGTCTTAGGGATTAGCATTTGTATTGTCTAGGATTTAGGGTTTAGGGCCGAAGGTTTAGGTTTCAGGGTTTAGGGAAACCCATGATTGGGATGTCAGACTGGTGTCCTGTTGGAACCCGGGAGCGCGGGATGTCGGAGGGTCGTGCAAAGTTGCTGCTTGCCACAACTCTTGAAACACACGTCTCGAAACAAAAGGGCTTAGGGTTTAGGGAGTAATGATGAACCTGTGGTGTATACACCGTTTCGGGCTCCCTGAAACCAAATCCCTACATAAACCATAAACCCTATAGATCCCCTAGACCCGAGAGTAGCCGAGGAATAAAAAGGGTGCCCTTTTTGGGTTAAAGGGTGTTAAAAAAGAACCAAAACCCTAAAAAAGGGAATAAGGGCCTACTCTGGGTCCTAGTCCCTTATAGCACCCATATGGATCCCTTTAAAGGAAGCCTCAAAGCCGCCGTGCCCGTAACCCCTAAACCCCCAGAAGGGACCTTGGACTTCCCCGTGCGGGCATCTCGGATGATCTGAACATCTTTGACCTTGGAGGGCATCTATAAGGGATCTATAACTAGACCCAAGAGAAACCTAGGAGGAAACAGGATGCCCATTTTGGTTTAAAGGGGTTTAAAAGGGAACCTGAACCCTAAAAAAAGGGAATAAGGGCCTACTCTGGGTCCTAGATAAGGGGTCTACGAGGGATCTAAAGGGATCTATAAGGGTTCTTCAAGGGACCTGAAAGACTGCTTTCCAGCTTTCGGGCTTTGGTTGGTAGGGCTTAGGGCTGAGGGCTTAGGGTTTAGGGGTTTAGGGTTTATGGGCGTAGGGTTTAGGGTTTAGGGGTTTTTTCAGCGGGCAGAATCGTGCTGAAAGCGCAAGCTCAATTCCAAGCATGTCCAAGTTGCGGAAAAGCGCTCTTGCTGGCGCGCCGCAGAAAAACGAGGCTAGTAGCAGCCTAGGGAAAAGTTTGGCACGTGGCAGCATCTGCTCAAGGGTTGAGCGTCGCCCACCACGGCCTGGGGCCGTGCGAGATAGTGCAGGGGCGCCATGCGCCGCTGCCCGGTTGATGCACTTCTGGCACGTCCTGGATCTCCGCTTCTGCGTAAACTCTGAGACATCGAGGACTCCTGCGGAGGTGTTCCGCGAGTCTTTGTCGAGTCCAGTATTCACCTGTACAGACTTCGCACCTTGACCCGATGGCGCTAACTGCATGGAGCGCACGTTGGCCGTGTTTGGTGGCGGCATGCACCGCCAGCCTGCGGTAGTCGGCAAACGCGGATGGGCACTTCTCGCATTGCCATGGCAAGGTCTGGCCGGAGGCGGCGGTTATGGATACCGTGTCACACGGTTCCCTTTGCTTGAGGTCGTCCCATGACACTCGCCTGCCCTCTATGCGCTGACGGATGAAACGTCGACAGGCTGCCTTAGTGATGGCATGTGGAGCCCGCAGATGTTCAACAATCTGTGGAAAGGTCTTTTCGCCAGGAGGCAGAAGACCGATCTCAGAGGCAGCATGGGTGACGGCTGGCCACCATTTGTCATCATGGGAGAGCTCTTCTAGCACAAGGATCATGTCGCTGCGGGCAAGTTGTGTTGCCGCTCGTAAGCGCTCGACTGCCAGGAGCTCAGCAGGCGTGGGCATGCGGAGCGCGCTTGCTAGTTCAAGGCTGGAGTAGCCCTGACTTTTGATGCCAAAGATGGGCTGGAAAGAGCCCCGGTAAAAGCCGTTGATGGCCCCTTCCAAGGTCTCTTCTTCTTGTCGGGTCGTGACACTCCATAGCCCTGAGCCGTACATCATGCGGGGGATCACCCGGCTGCGGAGGAGGTCAATCTTTTCCTCCCGTGTCAGAGCCGGGTTGCGCAGGACTCTCGCTTTGAGGGGCCTATAGAGCTCTCGTGCCAGCTCTCTGCGACGCCGTATGGCGGGCAGAGAGTGCCCATCCGCTTGGATTGTCGATCCAAGGTGGTCGTATGTGGCAGTAATGCGCACATGTCCCTGCTCGTAGTGCGAGCTGTAGGGCAATTGTGGGTCCGTCTGGCTGAGGTACTGGCGTCGGACCTCGCGGGAACCGGGGCCGTAGAGAGCCAGGATCGTTTCAGTTTTGCCGAGGCCCATGTTAGCCTGGAGTCCCGCCTCATGCATGCGATCAAGGAAGAAGGCTAGGGTGTCGGCTGTTGCCGCCGGGACGAACTCAGCCGGCCCAACTTCGACCAGAATGCAGACATCATCTGCCCATGTAGGTGTATAGCCAGGCGTATCGGCGGCTTGTACAGTGAGCCGTGAATGCCACACGCGTTCTCTGAGATATGCCTGTGTCTGCCGGAGCAGATCACCGAAAACCAGAGAGAACATGACGTCAGCAAGTGGAGACCCAGGTGCGGTTCCACTGCCGGCAACATATGCCGTGGGGGAGTTATGCCTGGGCACGTACCAGGTCTGATCCAGCTGGCGCTGCAGGTATGTGCGTAAAGCAGGCGACATAGCCTCGTCGAGCTCAGCATTGCTGTCGAGCATGCGTTGCACAAACTGCTGCCGGAGGTCATCAAACTGGAAAAGGCGGGTGGCACGTTGCTCAAGGAATGTACGGTCGCACCTTTGGGCAGGTGTAAGGGACAAGAGATCCTTGGCAATCGAGTAGTAGGCGGCAGCGGCGTCGATGAAGATAACCGCTCCGCTTTGGCGGGTCCGTCGGAGCCGATGGAGGTGAGCCTTGACACAGGCAGACGGTTGCGTCAGAGCATATCCTGGCCGTCCTCCCATCTGGTCCGGGACGCTTAAATGGGTCATCGCCTTGAGCAGGGATGGGCGCATGCTCTTTTGCAGGGCTTTGTTGTCACCTTCCAGGAGCATAATGGCTCTGTAACCTTTGTGCTGTGTGCAGGGCTTGCCAGGTTTGGGAACACAAGTGGCAAGCCCACCCTTCCATTGGAAGGGTGATGGGTCACGAAGGAAGAGCTTGCAGGCAACTGGGTAGTACAAGAGGGCCTGTTGGAGTGGGCAAGCCCTGTATGCTTCAGAAGCAATCCCCGAAAGGCCAGCAGCTCGTCCAGTCCGAAGGCTCGCGAAACCGGATGCAAGCCCTGCCAGGCTGGGGAGGTCACTTCCTTGCAGCGGTTGGCACGCAGCAGGTTCGCTGACTCCTTGGCCGGCCAGTCCTCGGCCCTCTCGGCCGCGGCGAAAAACCTCCCGAAACTATCTGACACTTGGTCTTTGTCCATCGGACAACCCGGTTCATCCTTCAGACATGGGAGGAGTGCGGGGGCCCGATATCGTCGTCCCGTACGGAGGATTGCCCGCAGGCGATGGGAAAACTGGGCGGATCCCTCGGCTCTGGCCTGGACGATGGCCCGGCGAGTAAACTCTGCCTTGTCGGTCCACATCGCGCGGCGGAGCTCCTTGCCCTGGCGATACTGGCGCGCCCATCTGGCTGCCGCACGTATCCGGGCTCCCTCCTCGGATCGGATGATTGCAAAGGCTGGCCTGCCCTGTTGCGCCCAGGCTCTGAGGCACATGTGCAGGAATGCCCGGCGTGAGGTCTGCTGTGCGTGTCTCGTACAGCGTCGCAGGTGCCGTTGCAGCCGAACCTTGACCAGAGTCTCAGGTGTCAGGGCAGGGTTACGTGGCTTGGGCGGCATCGCCGGCACACACGACATCACACCATGGTAGAGATGCTGTTGCAGGATATCCACATGCGCGGTGGTCCGAGTGGTCCATGGCACAGGTGGGCTGAGATGGGCCACCGTTGAGGCAACCTGTTGGCTCGCAGGTAAGGTCCAAAAGCGACAATCAATACGGTTGCGATGCTGCACAGGCGTCGCATCTACCGTGGCTTCCAACCGTAGCAAGACTGGCTGATGGTCGATATCCTCATACAGGTCCCCAAGCCGTGGGGTATCCTGCACCGTGCAAGTGCATTCCCAGTCAGCAGGCATCGCAATATAATCGATGAGTTTGCGATGGCCTTGTGGGCTAACCCAAGAGTGCAGCGGAGCGCCATTGGCCAAGAACTGTGGGCTTAGACCAAGCGCCCGGGCCGTTGCAAATTGCTGTAGGCATACCGCATTGTTGCAGAGTGGCGAGCAAAGAAGCGTGCTTGGAACAAGAGGCTGCCGGCTAAAGGTCGCATTTGCATCGAGGAAAAGCAACGGGACACAAGTGGCGGGGGTGCGATGGAGGGTGGTGGCAAGGTGGCCCCACCAATCTTGTATCACATCAGCAGCTGTGGGAGCTGGTGGGGCATGGGCAGACACAAGCAGCATTTTCACCCCGTCAAAAGAGCCGAGGACAACTAGTATCTGCGGCTCTTGGTGGACGATAGTGAAAGCTTGACGATCCCAACGGGGGTTGTGTCTCACCCATATTTGAGCGCCTCCAACGCCTTGGTCGGTGCAGGGTGCATGCAGGACCCAGTAATCGTCGACTGTGGTAATGCCCGTTTGCCGCTGTCGGGTTTCCTGGATGCCGGCGATGTCGACGGCGTGCTTGCGGAGGCCCTTCGCAAGCAGTTCCGCAGCTCCGGGGGCCTTCAGGGAGAGCACATTGTACTGAAGGACCTTCAGGTCCAAGAGCACTGGCTTAACTTCGAGGTCGGGCGCAGGCATGCAGAAGGGTCTCTGGAGGTCGTCTGACGCCACAACAGAGCAGTAGGCGCGGTCCCAGGTCCCCGCATCGTTTAGTGGCGGCAGGCTGCTAGCCGTGAGGGGGTGTCTCGGCACAAGCCAAAGATGATCAACGACCCCTTCAGTAATGGCCATCCATAACGGCTGAAATGTGCCATGCGCTTCGAGGGAGGGGTTTTTGCCGACAGCTTTGGCCAGGGCATCGGCGAGACCGTTGAGCGCGCAACCTGCATGAGCGAGCACCTTGTGGAGAAAAAGGCCTTTGCTTTGCATGGCTATCAGGGCCCGCACGCTGACAGTGGCTCGAGCAGTGAGATCCCATTCAGCAGTGGCCGCAAGCCCTTGTGCGACAGTCAGGGCGGCTTCACAGTCGGCGCCGACGTGCGCAGCCCGGCATGGCACACTAGCAATGACAGCAAAGGCGTGCAAAATAGCTTCGATTTCGCCGTCAAAGGCAGATGGCAGCCTGGCATGCTTTGGGCCATGGTGTGCAGGTCCTTGGGCCGCGCCGGCCCGGGCTCCGACCCGCACAATGTTGCCGTCCTGGAGTGCAACAATGACAACTGCCCACGTGGCCCGTGGCGCCTCATCAAAGTATGAGCCATCCGTGAAAACGAACAGTTCATCACAAGGCGACTCTGGTCGCCAGGCGGGAAGGCGTTGCCAGAGGCTTAGAAGAGAGGCATCGATCTGTGGGTAGGCCTCTGGCTGCATTGCAAATTGGGTCAAACCGTGGTCCTCGAGGCAATGCAGCAGAATGTCACGGTTGACCCCCCAGGTAATGGCTGGTGGGGACGGGGGAATGTGATTTGCAAGACTGATGTGCACGCTCTCGACGGGGGTAGCGGATTGTGAAGCCCTTGGTGGGCTTTGGGCGGTGTGTGGCCGGGGCTGGCACAGAGCATCCGGAGGGCCCTGAACAGTCAGGGTGTTGCTGCCTCCGGGTGGATCCGTCTTTGCAATTGGTGCGGCATCCTCAGCACAGAGACGCCTCCGGCCGAACGGGGTGGGTATGGTCACTGTGTGGAGCTGGGGAAGTCCCACCTTTGGTGGCTGCAGGTCCGGCTTCTGAGAATCCTCCTGGAGACGACGCGCTGCAGGGGTGCTGTCGTCCGGCGGCGGATCCTGAGGGCATTGCAGCGCGCCCTCCACGCAAGGGCAGTGGCGGAGGTCCTCGTGGATGTCACGAAGCTGCTTGCATCGAGCCGCTTGCTTGAGGGCCACATCAGGAAGTTGAGCCAAGGAAGTACCTTCGGTGCCCATGGATGCACTGGAGCTGGGCCTTCGGCGGCCATTGTCCCAAATGATGGCCCCGTGTGCAGCCTGAGCCGGCAGAACGAGCTCGAAACCTCGCCTAACAGGTAACCCAAGGTTCTGCAACGGCATTCCTACCGGCATGTTCAATTGGAGGAACGTGAGCGTGCTGTCCGGGGCCGTTAACAGGACTGTGGCCCGGGTGCTGCGGGGAGGGATCGACACGAAAATTTCGACCCCATGCGAAAAAGCCCGTGTCTCCGCAAAGCTCGTCCCTGGATCGAAAAAGCCCGAGAAAGACAAGAAGAGCAAAACTTCACGTAGGCTGGGTTCCAAAGGGACCGGCATGAACAACAGGTAGGGTGGATGCGTGGGCCCCATCACAAGTAAAGGCCTGTTGTCGTGCCCTGGCTCGCCAACCTCCACCCGGCGCTCAAGCGATCGAAGATGCAAAGTGCGCCTCGCTGCTTCACGGCCCCTTTCAATGGCACCGGGGTCCAAAGGATTCCTGGTCACTGGGGCCATGGAGGGCATACTTAGCGGCATCGCAAAAAGTCGAAGCTCCGGTAGCAGGAAGTACATATGGGCCACCGTAACGACCCTGGCTGTGAGAGGCGGGAGCTGAACCTGGACCAAATCCCCGGTGACAAGATTGCGGTTGGCCGCGGCTCGAGGTACCCCATTGAGAACCGGAGTGAAGCCTCGACGGGCTTGTGCACTCCCTATCATGTGCTCCAACCGAGTGCCGCTGTCAACAGTGATGGCCTGGAGCATGGTCCCATCCGTGGAGAAGTCTTGCAGAATGGCCACGTCAGTAGCCTCAGTGGCGCTGGGATAGATCATGAATCCTACCAGCAGCTCATTGGGGCGCTCAGGATTGCGGGGCATTGCAGTGCACAAGGAGATCATGGGGTTCCTTGGCATGCGCCCTTGCCGGGCCATGATGAGCAACATCTCGGCGATGGAGTGCTCCACATTGACTTGCTGAACAGGCTGGGGGGCTAGGCGGATGAGAGTACCTTCCCCCGCGAGGACAAAGGAGACATGTGTGCCGGAAGACAGCGCCGGCTGCATGGCAGTAGTAGTGGATGTCGTGCCCGTCCACTGGGAGTGTGCCGAAATTGGCGTGAGCTGTGGGGCCCCTGGAAAGGCCGCCCGATCGATGCGCACAGTCAGCCACTGGAGAGTACTGAGGTCATCGGGCAAGGCCTCCCAGACTCTTCCCAGCGCGTCTTGAAGAAAGAGGCCATCAAGAGGCGTCGCGAGATCAACAAGATAGCGCGACGCCGGAAAGACAGCTGCAATGCGGTCAAAGACTTCGCTGCAGGGCATTCCCGGTCGTAAAAGCAGTGCCAGTACAGGTCCTCCCATGTGCCTGGCATCAATAGGCAGAGTGAGGGAAGTTGCCGGGACCCCCGCAGGGGTCAAGGTGAATTGGGGCGTGGGAAGGCCCGCAATTGCAACTGTGATGACCTGAAAGATCGCAGTGGGTTCTGGCGCATTCAGCACTGCGTCTGCAGCGTAGTCTTCAATGGTCCAGTCAGCCGCCGCTTTCCTGACAAAGTGCGTATCTGCGCTCGGTGCCCGGGTGTTCCTCCGAGGCGCAGTACAAATTGAGTTGCCCAGCTGGGATCCGTAAGGCGGCCGGGGTGGCCCATCGCTCGGGGAGGATCTTGTAGCTTGGGTTTTTGTCGGCCCATAGACTAGCCCTTGGTGGGCCAGCTGTCGAGAGCAGGGATGGTGGATTGACAGGCGCAATGATGGGACGCTCAAGAGGCCCTTGGCACACAGTAGGCAAGCAGTAGGTAGGGCCCTCTAGGTCCGGGCTCTCTTTGGCAGTGTGCGAGCTGGGGCCTCCCGCGTGCAACTGTAGGAGAAAGGCAACATCACCTTCCCCCCCCTCTGCTGGGTCCTGGGCAGGATTGTCATTGGCAGGGTTGTGGTCACCTGGGATGCCTCTCACAAAATCGAAGGGAGGAACACCAGCTGCCGGAATAGCCGCCAGGGAGCCATCTGGCACAGTCAGGTGGAATGGTCCCCGGGGCAGACGTGTCGGATCGCAGCTGTGAACACACAGTGCCTGCAGTAGGTCAGGGCGGCATGCCCTTGGAGCATCGATGGTGCAAATTCTGCCTTCGGCACTGCGGAGGTCGAGAGGCGTAGTGAAAACCCCTGGCTCAGCTGCTCGAAGAGTCGCAGTGACCTGTACTGCAGGCAAGTGGGGAAGGCGGTCGGTGTGGAAACGCACCGATCGCACCTGTGGCAGAATGCCCATGATATCTGCCACAATGTCATTGAGGCTCCATCCAGCTGGGAGCCGGCGAACACTGGCATGGCTGGCAGTATCGAACAGAACGTATCGGTCCTGCTGTCGGACATCCGCATGTGCGCCAGACGCCCTGTGCCCCGAGGCCCAGCTGAAGGTCGTGACCGTGCTGTTGCGAAGTTCTGGGCGGTCGAGGTGGTCAGGAAAGACCTCCACCCGGGCAGCCATGCCAAGTCGGACCAGAGAAAAGGGCGTAGATGAAGGTCGCACAGGGGTTGCAGCGGGTCTCGATGAACTGGCCGTGCTCGCGACAAGCGGCACAGGCAGGGCAGAGGTGCACGCGACAGGCGGCACACTCGCGCAATGAACATGGCCGGTATAGGCGATCAGAAGTGGCGTGTGTCTCTGACCAGGGCTGTGGTCCGGAGTAGATCCCCAGCGAGAGCAGATTGCAGTGCTAGCAGCGGGCTGCACATGCTGCAGTCGGATAGGGTTTGCAAGGGAATCCGACAAATTACAAACCTGTATGCCGTCCCTTGTTGAGGCCCGGTCGCGGCTCCCGAATTGGGGCCGGAAAACCTCCGCAACAGTCGGAGGGGAATGTGGTATGCCAAGGTCAGCGGATGACCCAGAACCGGGGCTATCCTGCTTGCCGCCCAATCCGAGGGTAGCAGAGTGGCGGCTTCCCGCAAGGGGCCATGCAGTGGCGTCCGGAGCATGTTCGTTGTTAGCTGCGGGGGTCGACACGGAACCGCCCCGCCTGCTTATGAGCAAGCAGTCTTCCCAGCTTAGGGGGCTACCTAGCAGGCTAAGTGCACGTGCCCAGCTGTTGAAGGAGGATCGGTTGGCCAGATGGAGGCTGGCCCGGAGAGGGATTGGATGCGGCCTTCGGTGCAGGCAGCTATGCAACTCAGGAAAATCAGACTGTACATATGGTACATCATCTGTGCTCATCCCAGTGCCTCCCCGGGTGGATGTCTCACTGGCTTGAGAGCCCCCGGACTCCAGTACTTCAAGGTCGACTGCAGGCTTTCCCATGCGCTCTGCAGGACCCTGGAAACTCGAGTCACAGGTCTCAATTCCCAGCGAAGCGTCCAACCGGTTCGGCACTAGGAGATCAGCACCAGTCCATTCCCCAATGTCCTGGTGGTCGTTCCTTGGGTCCTCTGCAAAAACCATGTAGTGTTCTAGGCATGGCTCAGCGAGTCGGACTTCGAGCTCCTGGTTTATCCCCAACACAGCAGCCCACCAAGGTGTAACATAGTCGGCTTCCGTCGTGATAGTTAGCACGGGAAGCACCGACGGCCCTAACCATGCCATCAGGCCATGGGTCGGGCCTCGCCAGGGGGCGACTCGGCGGTCAGATCCACCGGCTCTTCGGTGGGCTCCTCCTTGGTTCGCCGGCGTGGCGTGCGGCTCCCTTCTCGGGTTGCAGCCGCCGCATCTTCCTGCGCCTCCATGAGCAGGCCTTCGATCTGCGCATGTTGGGCTTTGAATTTTTCGCGCGCCCTTCTGTATCTGGCTCGCACCTCGCTTTCTGTGCTGGCAGCCGTCTCGACGGCTGCGTCTGCCTCCTCGATCTCTTGCATGGCATTCTCGTCGGCCTGCTCTTTGTCCGTCTTGTCGTCGTCCTTCTCCTCCTGGGTAGCAATCGCTAGCTGCTGTGCAAGCAAGGCCAGCTTGCTGGACAGCTCTGCCTCTTTCTCTTCGAAGGCCGCCATCGACTCCAGTCGCGAAGCACCTTGCTTTTTCCAGAGCTCGAGCAATTGCCCGACGTAGTGTTCCCACGAGGCTGTAAAGGATGCTTTGTCGTGGCGCAGTTGCTCCAGGTCCTTGCGGGCCTGCGTCCTCTCGGAAACCAACCTGTGTAGGTGGCGACCTTGGCTGTGAGCAGTGTCCTGCGTGAACTGGCCTGCTCGTTGTAGAAGATCCGCTGGCAAGCTCTCCTTTGGTATTGCAGCCAAGATCTCCGAAAGTAGGCGACGATCCTCCGTCATCGCCGGTTGAGAGCTCGTGGCCGGTGGCTTGGGTGGCATACGGGGTACTGGCGGCTGTGGTAGCTCCGCCAGGCTCGGGAAATGCACCTCCGTCCGAGCAGGCGGCTCCTGCGCCTTCCCCGTTCCTTTGCCCTTGTCGGCAGCCTTGCCCCCTTTGGGCTGCTGCCCTTGTTGACCACCTCGTCGTCTGGGTGACTGGGTCTTCTTGCGGCGAGGTGTTTCGGCTTCCCATGATGGGGCCGAGTACGTCCATGCACCATTGCCTCTGCCTCCTCCCCAAGGTCCAGGGCGCTCCATGCAATTGTGCCATCTCCCTCCACAACGGCTGCAGAATTCTGCAGTCGCCTTGCAGAAGATCTTGCACTTTGCACATCTCCACGGTTCGGCCATGGTGACAGTAGGGTGCTCCTGCGCCCACTTTTCCCAAGCCTGTCGCGGCAGGTGGCTGTCGGAGTGGTGGTTGTGCAGAAGCTCCGCTGCAGTTGCCACCCTCGGATTCCAGGTGCTGGACGGGTCCGAGACGTACTGTCTCAGTAGAGTCCTCGATCTGGTGCGCTGTCTGCGCTCCCTTCTGTGCCAGGAAGGCTCTGTGTTGGTCAAAATTGCAGCCGTCCTCAAAGAAGGCCCACAAAAGACACAGTGTTCCAAATACACGCATACACCACGTCACTGCAACCAGGGCGAACCAGATCAGTTGCAGGTGATCTCAGGCAATGAGAAACTGAGTAAACCCAGCTGGAGAAAACTCCAGGGGTAAGGGAGAATACACCTCGCGAAGCGTACAGTGATCCCCGAAGGTTGAGAGGGTGGTCGCTCTTGCGGACACACACCCTCCAGTCGCGTGGGCGTCGTACGCCGCACTGGGGTTAGCAGAGAGGTAGGGGACCACGAGGGAAACTGCCCTACCTGCTCGAGCACTAACGCCTGGGTTTAGGGGTTTAGGGTTTAGGGTTTAGCAGGGACATCTGCGAGTGCGGTTCCTTAAGCTAGCTAGCCAGATAGATAGGCAGATTTACATACATGCACACACATGTGTATGAATATACATATATATATATATATATATGTTTGTTTATGTGTATTATGTGTGTGTATGCATATGTAATTTGTATAAACACATATATGTATGTATATATTTATATGTGTGTGGGTGCATGTGCATGTGCTTATGCTCATGCTTGTTCGTGTCTCTGCGTGCGTGCGTCTGTCCGACTCGCCATGTACCAATCTGTTCAACTATCGACAAGTCCATCTACTTGTCTCAGAAACTGTTGCTTTGTCTCTGGACAGAAATAGAAATTGACAACGACAACGCAGAGCGAGACATAAGGAAGAACGGAAACACAGTGGTCTCGGAACATTGACACAGCTGAACCCTAAACCCTAAAATCTCTAAACCCTAAACCCCTGAACCCTACAGTTTTGGGCCGGGAATTTATGCACCGACACCTGTATATAAAGAAGTACAGTCATGGTTGGTGTCCGTGTCGCGGATGTAGCTAGTTTACGACCTTGCACGTTTCGGCACCCTTCAGACGCAATAAAGACATCTCATCAAGCTTGATAAAACCCGTTAAGTGTGGTGCCCTACAAACCCTCTAACCGAAACCCATAGAAAGCAACCCCCTATCCCTCCAGGGACCTCATAGTTAGGGCTCTAGACCACTTAAGGACCCCATAATAAGGTCCCTGGAGGCATAGGGACCCTATAAGCCCTTTGACCCTAATCCCAAAGCCCTTAGCCCGTATCACTCGGGCGCCCCACCACGCCCCATAGAAAGCAACCCTGTAAGGCCGTGACCGTAATCTCAAAGCCCTTTGCTGGTATTACTCGGGCGCCCCACCACGCCCGCCCTTCCGGAGAAAAACTCGAAGACGTCCCGCTCGTCCGCCCGGGTGCTGAGGCCTAGCACGCGAGGGGTGCATGCTGTTTCTTGTGTTTGTATCGAGGTATGTGGTCTAATCCAAAGGTAAAAGGAGGGACCCTTAATAAGGACCCCTAGGTATATACCCTTAATATAGCTATCATATACCCCCATTATAGGGTAGGGTACCATTAAGGGTCCCTC